TTTTTCGAGACAGGGTTTCTCTGTGGCTTTGGAGCCTGTCCTGGAACTAGCTCTGTAGACCAGGCTGGTCTCGAACTCACAGAGCTCCGCCTGCCTCTGCCTTCCCAAGTGTTGGGATTAAAGGCGTGCGCCACCACCGCCCGGCTTATCCTAATTTTCTTTAAAGCTTTATTTGATGCGCATTGGTATGAAGATGTCAGATTCCCTGGAACTGAGTTACAGAGAGTTGTGAGCTGCCATATAGGTCCTGGGTATTGAACCTATGTTCTCAGGACGAACAATCAGTACTCTAAACCACTGGGCCATCTTTCCATTTCAATCCTATTTTTTAAGAAATCATTCTTTTCTTTTTCTTTCCTTTTTTTTTTTTTTTTTTTTTTTATCAGACTGTAATCAGGCCTTCTAGGTCCCAGTAGATATGTCTTTCTCTTCCTTTCCTGGTGCACACTGTTCTAGACATGTTCTTTTTATTTTTTGTTTTCTGAGTCAGGGTTTCTCTATGTAACAGTCCTGGAACTCATTCTCTAGATCAGGCTGGCCTTGAACTCTGCCTTCCTCTGTCTCCCAAGTTCTGGAATTAAAGACCTGTACACCACCACCACATTCTTTTTTTTTTTTTTTTTAAGATTTATTTATTTATTATGTATACAACATTCCTTCCATGTATGTTTGTATGCCAGAAGAGGGAACCAGATCTCATCACAGATGGTTGTGAGCCACCATGTGGTTGCTGGGAATTGAACTCAGGACCTTTGGAGGAGCAGGCAATGCTCTTAACCACTGACCCATCTCTCCAGCCCCCTTCTAGGCACATTCTTAAGGACTCAGTTATCAGCTGTTCCTTATCAACTACACTTTGGAGTACTTTCCCCTGGCTTCTATTGGCTAATGCTCATCTCTTCCTTATCTGTGAGTTTTCACTCAGATTTACTCAAATGCTCACCATGAGTACCCATTTAGTTTGCCTATTCTTATGCTGATACTGCCAATGTTCTCCAAGATAAGGGCAACATAGTGTGTATGTGAATGATATAACATGTATAACTAGCTTTCATCTTTTTATTTTATATTATATACAATGTAATATATTTTTATTTTTCTTAGCCATTTTATAATCTTTGCTAATCATTGACTACTGATTCATTGATAAATCCTAAGGCTTTAGTGTAAAGGTAAAAATAAAATGGCGCCGTTCACCAAGGGGTGGCAGTGGGCCATGACGGGCAGCAGGTCCCAGACAGGGAGCCACACAGTGGGTGAGAGACATCCGCGTGTCAGTAGGGCCCACGACGAGCCACTGAGGGTGAGAGACAAGATGGATAGGCACACCATGCAGAGAGAAACTGGGTATTTATTTAGTGGGTTATGGAGGGGATAGAGAAAGGGAAAAAGGGGGAAGGGCAAAGCGAGAGAGAAAAAAAAACCAGAAATGGCAGGGGGATAGAAGCTACCCCTTCAGGAGAAAGACTGAAAAGAAAGAGCTTAGGCTAGAAGAGGAAGGAAGGTCTGCCTGTCTTGGTGGACATAGGAGGGGGTGGGCTTGTTTCTTAAAGGGACAGGACAGACCATTACATTCTCATCTCTTTTTTTTTTTTTGGATTTTTTCGAGACAGGGTTTCTCTGTAGTTTTTTGGTGCCTGTCCTGGAATTAGCTCTTGTAGCCCAGGCTGGCCTCGAACTCACAGAGATCCACCTGCCTCTGCCTCCCAAGTGGTGGGATTAAAGGTGTGCACCACCACCGCCCGGCTTCTCATCTCTTTTTTATGATAAAAAGGCAGGAGGTTAGGCACAACAGGTTAAAGGAATTGGGTGGTGGATTCTCGAGACTGCTTCCTGCTTATTTGTGGGCATTGTCTTGGGGGGAACTTGAGAAGGCTGGGTGCTGGTCACACTTAGACTTAGAGACTGTGTAGAACATACATTTAAAACAGAATTACATCCGTGCTGTGTAGAACATACATTTGAAACAGAATTACATCCGTGTGGCC